ATGCGGTGATCGATGCCATAGTAGACGCCGTAACCCGCTCGTGCTAGCAATGGGATGGCTTGGTTGGTGCACGCACCGTCCGTGGCAGCATAGACCCATGCCCAACCAGTGTCGTAATCAAGGTAGGTGGTGTAGGTGTCCTGGGCTGAAGCCGCAGGATCACCATCAGGGGAGGGCCGCGGAATGGGCTGTGGCAGCGGGTCGCGAGGTCGGCCTGCAGGTCGAGGAGGGCTGGGTCTTCGTCGAAGAGCCCGCAGTGTCTTGTGTGCGGCGGAAGACGGGCCCACTGGTCGTCACTGATGAGGGTGGTGAGGGAGTCTTTCTCGGGCCCAGCACTTACAGTCGCGGACAGTGTGCTCCTGAGTTTCCTCTTCCTCGTCACAGTAGCGGCACATGGGGCTGGGGTCTGCCGACGTGTTTGATCGGGATCGTCGCTGTTGGGTGTGGTCCCCGCCCGACAGGTAGTTCAGGAGGAGCGCCAGCTGCCAGGCAGTGCATATGGCTGCTCCTTTAGTTCGCGCGAGCCACGTGCTGGCGAAGAGATCAAGGCCCTGTCTGACAGAGGCGAGGTAGCCAAGGTCGTGTCGCCGTGGCTTGATCCTCCGCAGAAATGCCCTGCGTTGTGAGGCCCGCAGCATGTGCAGGAAAGAGAGAAAGAGAGAGAGAGAGAGAGAGAGAGAGGGAGAGAGAAAGAAAGAGAGGGAGGGCGAGAGCGAGAGAGAGAGAGAGGGAGAGAGTGAGAGAGAGCGCGAGAGATAGAGAAAGAGATAGAGGGGGGGGAAAAAGGGGGGGCGAAAACAGGGGGGGAAAAAAAGCGAGGAAGAGAGAGAGAGAGAGAGAGATAGAGAGGGAGGGAGAGAGAGTGCGAGAGAGAGCGAGAGAGAGGGAGAGAGAGGGAGGGAGACAGAGACAGAGAGCGCGAGGGAGTAGGAGGCGAGGCGGAGGAGGAGGAGGAGGAGGTGGAGAAGCTGGCGGGGGCGGAGATGGGCGTGAGGAGGCGGAGGCAGCGGTGGGGGGGATAGATGTCGCAGGCGCTGGGTGCCCCCAATCGGATCCAATGCGCGACTGCATATGCCTGCGCCGCCTCGCCTCGATCGACAAGGCACGCAGCCGAGCTGAATCTCGACGACGAGCGCGGAGGGGAAGGGGGG